CTCCCGGTTGCCGCGGCGGTGGGATGGTGCAGGTGTTGCCGGGGCTCTACGTGGGCGGCGCGGAGTCGTGCTCGTCCCCGCCGCAGGGTGAACCCAGGTTTCCAGGGGCAGCTGAAGCTTTACGAGGCCATGGGCTGCGCCGTGGACAGCAGCAGCGCCCTTTACAAGCGGTACCGGCTGGAGATGCTCACGGAGAGGTACCCCGGTGAGAGGCGGGGGGGCGGCGGGGCCGAGCTGGGCCCTGGGAGCATCGGCCTTGAGCCGGGGCGGGTGGTCCCAAGGTGGGGCCGGGCTACCCTGAAATGAACACAGAAGGCCTTGTCAAAGGTGGTTGACTTTTGGGTATGGCCCTCAAAGCAGCCGAGCCTTGAGTTGGCAGGGCAAACGTTCACATCGTACTGGCCCTAAAGAATTCCAGCTCATCAGTGGGGAGGAAGAGTGTCTTTGAGAGATGCCTGAGAAATAAGATCCGTAAGGAACTGTTCTCTTTAGCAAAATGCAGAATTGCTAAAGGTCAGTTTGGTATGTTTCCTGATTTTTATGTACCTGGCTAAGCAAACAACATCCTCTAAAAAGAAAGCACTGAAATTAAAAAAATAGAAGTAACAAATGCAAAACTGAGATAAAGTTGATATCAAGGTATAGCATTTCATACTTTAATTTGACAAAGTGACTCTAGTAATAGATACGTGTGCTTACGTGTAGTTTTATAATAACCCATAGCTGTTTTGCAAGATCTGCATTGCATATTCAGCACAACGGTGCTTTCTCCCTGTGTATGTCTTTCTCCCCAGCAGTTCCCATTTGTAAGCTGACTTTCTGTACTGTGTGCACTAAAAGACTGGCAGAACTGTTCTAAAGCCTACTCTGCCTTTACCTTCTGTTTAAGTAAGAAATCAAAATGCAACTATTTTTGCCATTGCTAAGGTCAAAGTCTAGATCCCAGTTCTTGCATTTAAGCAAATCCCAATCTTAGGTGTGGTGGGATGAGGCTCATTTTTAGTTTATCTAATGGAATTGGTGAGCAGACAAATAAATGCAAAGAAGGTGGCTTTTGCTTGCCTTGACAGGGGCAGAGGCACAGTGCTGTCTTGTCCCACGGAAATGCAGTGTGGCTGCACTGATCTGATTCACGACTTGGTGCTGACCCCTCTGCAGAACTTCAAGACTTGCCCCGAGAAGTCTTTGCTATTGATCCATCCAATATATGTCAAACTCCAAACACAGAGGTTCTCTACAGGTGCAGGAAATGCAGGTACTGATCCTTTTATATTTTTCCATAAAATGTTATTTTGAAATCAGCTGAAGAGAAAAATAGCCCACATAAATCAGTGGGCATGTCATTATTGTCAGGGCAGGGATGAGCTCTTGCCTAAGTTTACATGACTTGAGTGCCACAAAAAAAATCAGACAAATAGAAGTATATTATGAAATGCTAAATTTTTTTTCCTTGGAGTTGTGCAGCACTTGTGCAGCCTAACCTGCCATGTTCTACAGGCAGGCATAATTCCACTTGGAACTGTGAAGTTGCTTGCTCTGAAACCATAACTTCTAGTTTTTGACAATCTGTTTCTCCTGAAGAAATTTCTGGTAGACTTTGGGGTTTACTACCTTTTATAGATTGTTTAAAGTGAAAGCGAATAATCCTGCTATTTCCTATGTGTAGGTTTCTTTAAGTTTATGAGTGTAGATTTGAATGTTTAGTAGGCAGGAATTGTTTAAAAATAGATCTATATAGAAGACAGCATCCAGCTGTGGGGCAGAGCCTAAAACTACAGGAATCAGTAGATTTGTTAAGAAGCAACCCTGAACAGAGTCAGTGCCTCCTGGCCTTCTTGACTAAATAAAAAAAAAAAAAAGTAGGATTTGTAATCTTGTTTGATTATTTACTCTCAAGAGGTCCATGTCCCTGTTTTCTATTGTCTGTAGGCTTCCCCAGTTAAAGAACAACTATTTTACTTCTTTCTTTCCCTCTTTGTCGTGGAGGGCAGGCGCGCTTTGTTCCGTAGCTCTAGCATTTTGTCCCACTTGGAAGGAAGTGGACCAACAGCCTTTGCCCACAAGAGGATAACAGACTCTGCTCAGTTTTGTGGTGATGGCCGAGAAAAATGTACCTCTTATTTCACTGAGCCCGTGCAGTGGATGGAGCCAGCGTTGCTGGGAGTAATGGAAGGACAGGTAAAGGGAAACACACGCTTTATTTTTTTGGGGTGCTTTTTTTTTTTTTGCAAAGGCTGAGCAAACTCTTTCTGTTCCCTCATGCAAAAAGCCCCCTTCCCCCAAGGACCTAGCTATCCCAGCCTTTTAGGCATGAATTTTGCAGCTTATGAACAGATTCTTAAATAGCCTTTTATAAGGATAAAATTATTAAGGATAAATCATTATAAATTATCCTTCTATAAGGAAAGGAGCTGGTGATCTTGTTGGACTGAGAACATGAGCCAGGCTGTTGGAGAGGGTTTGTTGGCTGTTTTTTAGTATGAGAAAAGAGTTTGTGGGAATTTACAAAACCTGTTATAGTCTTAGGCTGACTGAGGCTTTCTGGAGTCTGTCAAAACTGTCCTGGAACCACACTGGGTCTGAGCAGCTGCATTTCCATCCCTTCCCTTCTGCCAGCACGGCTGCCTGCTACACCCCAGGGCTGAACAGCCATGCCAGTTGAGCTTTTTTGCCTGTTTTTCAGCCTGTTTGCATTCTGTGAAGTGTTACAAGGGAAGGAGCAGGCTTAGTGTAGGTGTACCATACAAGTACCTTTTAAATAGACATACATCTGCATGCACCTTAGTTTGTGTGTTTTTCTTCCAGCTTCTGTGTCCCAAATGTACATCGAAGCTGGGCTCCTTCAGCTGGCGGGGTGAGCAGTGTTCCTGTGGCCGCTGGGTGACACCTGCCTTCCAGATCCACAAAAGTCGAGTGGATGAAGTGAGGACGCTGCCAGTTGGTAACTTCCAAACTGCCAAGACCTGAACTTGTCGCTTCCCTCCATGGATTTCTTAACATCCACAGAGAACTGCTGTCTACTCAGTGGTTGCCAGGAGCGAGCTTATGACTTCCAGCCTTGTAGTGCAGTGGAATTACTTGTATGTCTGCTCTATTGAAGCTTGTTGTATCTATACTATATATAAAATAGCAAAACACTTCAAAGAGGTGTTAGACAATGGTCAAATATATACAAAAATGCCTGAATGTGATGTTTTTAATACACTGTCACTTCATCTGTTGCTATTTACAGGTCTCAACTCCTCATTTACAAGGAATGCTAACATATTACTTCCAGGCTGTGGCCAGCAGTACTGCTTGTCTTCTGATCCAGGAGTTTCAATCACTCTGTCCGAAACACCCAACTGAGATTTTTGGGAGGTCTGTTCCACAACATGAGGTACACAGTAGGGAGATATTTCTTAAAATATTTATCAAAGTGCCAAAAGGTGGTACCATTATAACAGTTGCTTTAGTATGCATGGCAGCTACTAGCAGCAAAAGGCAAGTTTATGGTTATACTTTTATTGTCATAGAAGTAGTCCTAAAAACGTCTACCCCAAGAATATCTGTTCCATTCTAGCTCTTTCCTGTAATGGCTGAGGAGATTATACAAGCTGGACAGGAATGGGAGTACTTAAGCATCCCTGCCAAATTGCTGCTTACAGGTTTAAAGAAATCCCCAAAATGAGGAAATAAGATTTTAGGAAGCTGTGAGCTTTCCCGATGGTGTGCTGTGTACACCACTGGGGCAGAGGTTTAGTTTGACAGAATACTGATGACAGATAAGACCTACTTTAAACCAGTTTTATTTTCATTGACTTCAACAGTTTTTAAATTTTTCTTTTTTACACAATTTCCAGCAACATACATTATGAAATATACAAGATAAAGTAGGTGGTGGGGTTCTGCCCATCTTTTAATTCCTCCCACAGCTGTGGAGGGAAGACTTACAGGACACAGTGAACATCAGAATTTCAACACTGAAAACAGACACAAACCAAAAAAAAAAAAAAAAAAAAGACAAAAGTATATATGAAACTGTTTGAACTGGTCACACTTCAGGGCCAGGTACAGCACAATAAATATTAGAACTGCATTATCTTAAACATTTTCTGTGAAGTTTATAACATCCTCCATTTAAAGAGATAAGAACATCTGGTTTCTAGCATGAAATGCCACAGAGGACAGTGGTGGGTACAAACAATGAGGAATCTGGCAAGGGCTGGGATGGTGACTACTTCACACATGCTCATTGGTAAAATAAGCAGCACACACCAGAAGTTTAGTGAGCTGTAAACTTAACCATTCACTACCAGAATATCAGCTGGAGGAGTAGCTCCTTTCAGGAGAACCATAAAGAATCAATCCCTTAAAGCTTCTCCCCGACAAATAGTCGATACCATAAGGGAAGTGGCAGCATTTGGTCCATAGCGGGAGATCCCTTTGCGTGGCCACTGCTGGAAGCTGGCAGCCCGTGGGAGTGTTGCAGTGCAGGAGGAACGCTCAGCTGGCCACACTGCTGCTGTTTCACCTTTACCGCCATGACAAAGCAGCAGACAGATGTCAGCTGCTGCCCAACACACAGCGTTGGACGCCACCTGATGCAAGCGAGGGGGAACGGACTGGAGGGGATGCCAGCATTTCTCTATGACCTGAGCACTGCACTCCCGGGGGTTTGACAGAAAAGGTTGCTCTGTGGCTCGTTCCTCACCTCATACTAATTTTGCCAATAAGGAAGCCCCAGACACAGCAGTCTCGGCTTTTTGACAGAGTGCAGAACAGACCAGTCACTGGTTTCTCTTGCATCATAATCAAGGAGGCAGGAGGAAATCCATCCCATACTTGGCCTTCCCCCTGTTCATCCCCCGCCCCCAGTTTAGCATCCTACAGTCTTCTCGCTCGAGAACTGGGGACCTTCTGTGTCACTGTGTGAGCACAGGTGGAGGAGGAAGGCGAAGCGCCCGCTTGCCTTTCCTTAGCGTGACCTGGGAGGCAACTGTGCTGGCAGACAGAGCACCACTGAGGAAGGACTCTGTGATGGTGGCGTCACCGTACCTCGCTCTCTATGTCATGCAGCTTCGCAGACTAAAGCATCTGAGGGTCGTGAAATTTTACAGGGTGAGTGGGAGGCAAGAAGGTAAAAATTCTGCTGGAAGCTGAGCACCTATGGCTTTGATTTTAGCTGATGCCAACTCCCAACAGTCCTATCCATATTAAGTAGGAAAATAAAATTCTGTTTCTCCAGCATGCAAAAGTATTCTGGCTGCTTGTACGTGCTCACCTTCTAGTTAGTCCCTTCTTGAAGAGATCCAGACCTACCACATTTCAGTACCAACAGACTCAGGTGAGGGTTGCAGAAGTGACAGAGCAGTGAAGAATTTTTGGTTGTATCAACATGTCATCAGAATACAGTCATAAATGCTGTTTGAGAATAGGGAGTTCTACATCACGATAGTCACTTAGCAAAGCGCCAGGTGTAAATGCCCTTAACATTGCCAGCTCAACATACCGTGAGACTGCATTAAGATCGACACCTCCTCTGCCACTACAGCTCAGCTGGCTCTGGTTACATCCCGAGGTGAAAGACCGGTTACCATGAGAGCCGGGAGAGGCAAAGTGAAATTTTTCCCACCCTAGAAGCGTACAACAGCATTTCCTCACTCATCCAGGCCCACTCACACATCACTCACCATTGCAGGCACACAAAGCAATGCCAAACACAGACTAAGAGGAATGTTTTGTAAGGACACTCTCTGAGTATGAACAGGGAAAACATGGGGCTATTTATCAACTCAAGTACTGTTGCATCATTCTTGTAAGGTAGGGAAGCTGAGGAGTTGAGATGAGGAATTGAAAGGACAAACTGGAGTGGTCACAGAGGTCGAGTCTAGTCTTCCAGACTGCGAAACGCATTCTGCATATCCTCAAACAGCTGAGCATAGTCCGCCTTGATTTTTGTTTCACCATCTTTGACAGGGTCCTGAAAGACAACAAAGCCAATGAAGAGATCCACCAGGAAAGGCCTCGGGTACTTGAGACAACCCTGCTTTTGCCAGTGCTGTAATTTCTCAGCCCCAGGATTAACCCTTGCTAACTGCAGAGTAGGCAGGCATCGTAGCTCGATCTTGCCCCCTGCCTGTCTCACCAACAGCCACAAGGTTTAAATCTTCCCCTCTTTCCACATTCAGTGAGCAGGCAGAACGGGACAGAGAATTCTTCTCGTGAGCAGTGCTGACTTTATTGAAAAGTGATTTGGAGAGGATTCAAGAATACTGGGGGTCCTAGAGCTGCAGTGACTGATATCAGCTCCTACCCCAAAACCAAGTGGAGCAAAGATCTTTGACTCAGAAATGCTCTGCTGTACTTCTTGGGGTACATCCCCTATAGGTGCAAGAGTTACTTTGCCATCACTCGGAGGTCGCTTGGTTCCAATTAAAATCTTACTGTGCAATCAGAGCAAGCTAAAATCATCTTTGTACAGCTTCATTTTCTCAGAATACTTTTCATGAAAGACAAGGGCAAAAGCTGGAACAATCAGCTTTGCTCTGAGGCTGCAAGGCCTTCCCTACAAGAAACATCAACTGCCAGGCTGCAAAATCTGTTCAACGTCTTCACCATTCTCCTCCTCAGCACTACGTTCCTCTGGGTCAGGGCAGCTCTTGGGAAACAGCACTTACACGTGTGGATGCATTACTCCCTCATTGTCTCTCTAAAGCACATAGACCGGAGGACATTTATATTCTCACGTCTTTTAGACTGTTACCCAGGAAATAAAATTTTCCTTTCATAACTGTTACTGTATTAGAAGGCTGGCTCCACTTGGCATGTATTCAGCCCCTGAATTCGCTTTTTCAGCCGCTCTGCCATACACCAGCTGTCTTCCAGTGCCCAGGGTTTGTAAAAAGTGTTTTAATTCCCCTATCTTTATATAACCAGCTCTCAAAGAAGCTCACATTCCCAAGTGCATCTTGTTCCTGATGATTTGAGAATATATACCAGGGATCTGCTTACTGCAGAAAACAAGCCAGTACTGCGCAGGAACAGAATAAATTGCTGTGCCAGAAGACTTGATTTTAAACATATTTTTATCTTATGGTACTTGTTCTGGAAAGGTTTGCAATATTCGCTTGCAAGGGTTGTAACACAGTAAGCATTATACTTCAGAGATCATTCCTTAGCTGCTTTAACATTAGCCAGCATCACAAGTTACTGTCCTACCAGTAACTGCCACACCAGCATGCTCTGGAGGAGATTTAGGAGAGCTGTACCCTAAGACAGCTACTGAAGTCACCCGGAGCCCCAGCTCCAAGCCCCTTGTTTTCCCTTCAGCCCATGCTGAAGTTACTCCTCACTTCCTCTGCTCCTGGTTACCTGCCTGAGGCCCTGAAGCCAAACACAGGTCGCATCACGTTTTACTGCAGGTAATTTCTTTCCTTAATTGTATTTAAAATAGGTCAATCAACATTTCTATCATTCACTTTTTAGCACATTCCTGGATTTAAACTCTGGTCTGCTTTTATCTACTAATAGTATTGCAATTTTTCCAAGGTTTCCTTACTGCAATTTTTCCAAGGTTTCCTTACTGCAATTTTTCCAGAATTTTATCACAAAACCCCCAGAACAAATAAGAAAGGTGCCTGAACTATTACCACGAATATCTGTAACATAAAAGAGGCTACTGAAGGTGGGCTTGCCAGGGCTCTGCAGCCAGCATCACCCGTTCCTATGCTCACAAACTAAAAGCACTTCTTAAGTGTATTCAAACTGATTGCAGAAAGTCTCTGTTCATAGACCTTTAAGGCAACTAGTGACCACCCCTGAGTGACAGCCTTTCAGAGTCACTGGGAGCTCACAGAGCAGTGGAACCCCGTTCTTTCCAAACACACCTTGAACTTCATGGAGGTCAGTCTGTAGAGGATCTCGCTCATGTTCTCTCGGATGATGGACCACGTGATCTTGTTGTCACTTTGGGCTGTGGTTTCTACAGCACGGCGTGCCATGTCATAAAATGCAATCATATTGGAAAGCATTCCCACTGTTTTATAGAAAGGGCAGAACCTGGTGGGAGAGAAGACAATCTGTCAGACATTTTGGAAGAGTTAAACAGGACAAGCCTTTGCAACCCTGAATTCTCACCCGATGGAAGGAGCACTAGCCTGCTTTACTCCAGGGATTTTTAATACGCACTGTCAAAGGAGAGAGGCTGCCTCTGATCTGTCCTGCATCTTAAACCACAAATCATAGGCCAAGACAATCAGCCTGAAGTGAGGTTTCTGAAGCAGCACCCAAACACTGGGAAAAACAGGAGAGAACTGGAACCTTCACTGTACAAGTCTCACGTTTCAATCTAGGCCAATGCTAACGAGAATGGGGAAGCACCAGATAAGCCAACGGAATTCCTCCTTTCTGTTTTGTCCACCACGGGAGCAGGCTTCCTCCAAACAGCCTGGGATGACCTGACAGCTCGGTAATTTTTCTTTAATCACAGGAAAGGGCATGTTCCTGTGACAACATTCCACGGTCAAAAAGTGCCATTTTTAATTGGCAGATGACTGCCACAGGAGGTACCTCATCATTATTTATACACTACATCATGCTACTTCCTGTGCTTCCCTCTCACATGCAAACACAGCTGCTCTAGTGAAAGACACACACCATTACAGAATGATGTATGTCTAAAGTTTCAGTGATTAAGCATTCCAGACCTCCTGATCTACCTGAGCTGGGGAGTGAGATGAAGTACAGGCTGTTACAACACAAGGATAGCATAGAAAGAAGCAAAGCAGACAGAGATAATAAGCACTGCACTAGGGAAAAGATCCAGTAAGTTTTTTTGGTGGATCAAACTTACTCAAGAATTATGCAACAGTAATCAAAAGCAGATTCTTGCAGTCCCTCATGCATTGCTAGAATAAACAGGAAGACTTCGGGTGTTGACTATGAAAATAATGTGGTCCACTCCTCCAAAGGAGGCCATGATATTGTTGGAAATATTGGGTTACTGAAAAATAGAGGAGGGCCTGACAAACTCAAAGGGTGTGACCGCATTCGGAAAAGGTATGCGTGCCCTGTGTAAGGCAATATGAATCTTAACCCCTGTACTCGAGACTGGTGAGGCCGCACCTTGATTACTGGGTTCAGTTTTGGGCCCCTCACCCCAAAAAGGCCATTGAATGACTCGAGCGTGTCCAGAGAAGGGCAACGGAGCTGGTGCAGGGTCTGGAGCACAGGTCTGATGGGGAGCGGCTGAGGGAACTGGGGGGGTTTAGTCTGGAGAAGAGGAGGCTGAGGGGAGACCTCATGGCCCTCTACAGCTCCCTGAAAGGAGGGTGCAGAGAGGGGGGATGAGGAACCAAGGAACAAGTGACAGGACAAGAGGGAATGGCCTCAAGCTGTGCCAGGGCAGGGTCAGACTGGCTCTTAGGAAGTATTTCTTTGCAGAAGGGGTTGTTGGGCGTTGGAATGGGCTGCCCAGGGCAGGGGGGGAGTCCCCATCCCTGGAGGGGTTGAAGAGTCGGGTTGACCCAGTGCTGAGGGATCTGGTGGAGTTGGGAACAGTCAGGGTGAGGGTCATGGTTGGACTAGATGATCTTCAAGGTCTTTTCCAAACTCAGTGATTCTGTGATCTTTGAATAGACAGTTTGATGGCCTACCTGAACACAGGTCTACCATTTGTTTATGGCAAGTGAAATTAATTTCTGCACTGATCCATTTCCAAATAAAATAGCTGTCTAAATCCAGACTATACGGGACCAAGAAGACAGAGTGGCCAGTCAGATCTTACCTGTCATAAGGCGTATAACCATTCTGTTGCAAGAAGTCATCTTTTATCAGCTTGGCAACCTCCAAGGTAATTTTGTCTGTTTCTGCCAAGGAAGCCTAGAAAAGTAAGGTACGCTGTTAGCTTAGCACTCAAGTCCATGAGGACATGGTATGTCCCAGCCAAGAACCATTATTTTTCAGTACCTGTTTTCTTCCTGCTCTCTTAAGATGGTTTCCAGCAAAATTCTGTCTTTTGGGTATTTCTTACTCCCTGCTATAGAACAGCCAATTTAACCAATTGCCAAATTAAGATGGGCCAAACAGCCAATAAGTCTATTTTAAGTCTGTCTGATGACAAACTATGGAAAGGAAGTGTCTTTTAAGAGAATGGAAAGGCCACCCAACAGTGAAAATGTGCACAGGTCTGCTGTAAGGCAAGTCAAAACATCACCATCCTACATAAAGAGGTAAATTCATTTTTACCTTCCTCAATCCTTATGTCCATGGAAGAAAAACTAGACCTCAACATGCTAGATCATAAGTAATTTTAAGAATTTGATACTAGCATCCAACAATGGGCTTTCCCTGTCTGGCTTTCAAGAAAAGGGAAAGAGTTGATGACAATGCCTGTCATGCCCTGCAGGACAGCCACAACCCTGCTGCATGCTGCTGCTGTTGGCACCACAGGTCACTCTACCTTCACTGTCCTTTTGCTAAAGGGGAAGACTGAGTTTTAAGCACCCCAGCTTGCTTTCTAGATGGGAAGTTTGGACCTTATTTCATAAGGAGACTAACTGAATTCAGTGCTAAAAAGAAAAAAATATATCTGATTGTTTTTCCACAATTCCCCCTTTCTAAAGGTTTGTTGCAGTTGTTAGCCAAGCCCAGACTGAAAGAAACTGTTCAAGAGAACATCTTTGAGAACATGATCACCAGTTCCAGTACTTCTACCATGGGAGTAATGCCTAGTTACACACACTGGTTTAAAAATATTCCTTCCACACCAAGGAACTGATTCTACCCTGCTCTGTAAACTAGTCTTTTAGAACATTTTTGTGTATAGAAAACTGCAGAAGGCCCCAAGATCACATTTCCTTTTCTTCAAAGACACATCTAAATAGAGCTCTGCTAGGCAAGATCTGGTGAAAGGCCTCATCTGAGCTGGGCTAGAACATCAGTGCATAGGAGAAGACTTCCTCCAAGTAACTGTAGTTAATACGTGTTAACACATACTACTACCACCTTATAAATCAGCATAGCTCATCTGAACATCACGGGATTAAATTTCTGCCAAGTTCATGCCAGGCACCTGTCAATCAGCATGTTTACAGTGCTAAGCTTTAACAGTTTTCACGGGGTGCCTTCTGAGAGCTTCCAAGGGAAATTTTCCTGTCCAAGTTCAGTTTTCTCTCCAAAACAGTGAAGTGAATGAAGGAATGCCTGTAAAATGGAGCCATATGTCATGTCACAGGCTTCCACAGAGAAACCAGGCAATCATCAGTTTTTAGAAAAAGCAGGTATCACTTCTGTTTCTACAGGCCAGCTTGTAAATGCCAACACCTCCGTTGAGCAGCTGGCAACTTGGTTTCTAATAAACTGTAACCCTTCCGATGACTTCAAAGTAAAGATCAGTTTGCATCTCTTCTCTTACAAAGATTACTACCACTCACCTTCCTTTCTTGGAAAATGAGCACTAAAAAGTCCACCAAACTGTATAATATCAGCAGTCAAACTACTCAACAACCTAAGTTGCAATAAAGGGCATTTCAGCAGGACTGGAACACTGAAGCAAGTGAAGTTTAATTTCAGTTATTAGATGCCCTGCAATCTAATTTACATGAGAAAAGTAAAGTCAAACCAAGGTTTATCAAATCTAAAAAAGAATTCATATTACAAGTCAAACAACATGTAAAAAAGCTGGAATAAAGCAGTTAAAAGGCAGGAGAGCCTGACGTCTCCTGGTGACCGTTTGCCTTTTCTGCACAGTGCAGTATCCATCAAGTCTGGTCTAAGACATGGTCAAAAGCATGCACTAGCAGTAAGGAAATCAAGGATGGCTCACTGACACATTTTCTCCCAGCTGGTTACTCACCTTCCCCACAAGCTGCACAATCTCTGCAAGGTCTTCTTCCTCCTGTAGAATCTCTTTGGCCTTTGTCCTGAGAGGGACAAACTCTGTAAAATGCTTGTCGTAGTACTCGTCCAGGGCACGCGTGTATTTGCTGTAACTGATCAGCCAGTTGACAGAGGGGAAGTGCTTGCGTTGTGCCAGCTTCTTATCCAGGCCCCAGAAAACCTGTCAGAATCCAGAAAGATCAGTGTTCCAAATCAAAACCAAACCAAAATAACTGCAGGCAATAAAAAAATTCAAATCAATACAGAAAGCAACTTTGAGCAAATGCAACATGGCAAAGGCTATCACGAATAAAAGCGTGAGAGAGAAAAGCCTTCCTTATGTTAATTTAACTATAGCAGTGACCTTCAAATACACTTCTCAAAAACCAATGCACCTTTTAAGCTGAGTTCAGACTTATTCAGCTTGAGATTACTCATGAGGGAAAAGTCAGCCGTAACAAAGACAATGTCAATACTGGAGTCTAATTAAAGTGGAGACCTATTAGATGGAATCCCTTTTCCCAGAACTGGGCTGCAAGACATCCTTCTCCCAGTCAGCTGCTCTGGGGATTTTTTTGGTGGCTTCAATGCACCTATTAAGAGCAGTTCACTCTCCACCTCAGCTGAGAGCAGCCATGCTTAAAGTGCAGCTCAATGGGCAGCAATCAGGAAGCACACGGATATTCCGGAGGAGTCAGCGTTGGAGGGAACTGCCACCTTCGCTCCCTCTTCCAAAGGCATCTCAGACCTTAGTTCAGAGACCTTCTCATAAGGTGGTCTTTTACACTGTTAGAACATTTTCCAAAGCACCCTACAAAGCTTCCTGTGTCAAATCAAAGCTCTCACACGACAGCCACTAGCACAACCGCCCTGAAGCAGGCATTTCAAGTTTAACAAAGCGGGCAGAAGAGCTGCAGTGTGGTGGGACGTACCTGAACAATGCCCAGTGTAGCAGATGTGACAGGATCAGAGAAGTCACCACCCGGGGGAGAGACACTGAGCAAGAAGAGATAAGGAAAAGTTATCAGTTGCTTTCACAGTTTAAGCTGAAGTACTGAACATATGACTGCACAGCTCAGTGATCACAGAAACCAGAAAAGTCAACACGATTTCAAGTAACAGAGTGCAAGCTTCCACTGCAGAAAGTGTTTGCTGCATACCCACACAGGTGTAATACCAAGCACACCATGAAACAGATTTGTATCAGTAGCCTGACTGACAGCATCAAGGCATGATTTCAGTCACTTTAGCTCCAGGTAGTAACTCCAACTTGAATTATCAAACCTTTCTCAATGAGAACAGATTCAGCAAGCATGCTAACAGGACACTGTGAAACACAGTGCAATGATTACAGAAAACAATACCACAATTTGAAACTATTGCAGATATTGTCCTCTACAACAATCACTTCAACTATGGTGTAGTTAAGAACAGTCAGTGTGAGGTTAATGGTTGGACTAGATGATCTTCAAGGTCTTTTCCAACCTAGATGATTCTGCGATTCATTTGGGCTTGAACCCATATGGCTTCCCAGAGATTAAAAAAAAAAAAATCTTCCAACCTCAAAAGCACGATGCATTTGTGTATGTATATTGTGGACAGCAGAACTAAGCAGAGCAAAGAATGGACTCTAGGAGCTCCTGCAGATGCTAGAGGCTCTCCCGAAAACATATAGGTGGGAAATTCACTTTCCCCACAGTATGATATACAAATTAGTATAGTCTAGAAGAATATCTGGGGATCACATTATTTCACAGCTTGGGATACGCTACTCCATGTAATTCTACTCCATCTAAGCAACAGAATCATGATACATTATGCCCGCAAGTGCACGCACTGCTGCTCCAGCTGCCCCTTCTTTCCTGCTCTAAACATGGTTTGACATACTTTTCTGTGACAGCTCTAACAACATTCTTCTCTGGGCCACTTGCTCTGACTGCTGCAAGCGACTGTGATGCTGCACCTCACAGAACTACCTGTCCACATTCATTCTTTCTGCCCCCACGCACAATTTAGCAGCAGTTCTGGGTAAGCAGAGACCAAATACCTACCTACTCACTCACGTAAGAGTTCTGCAGCTGTGCAGAGCAATGAGGTGTTTTTGTCTGAAAAACAGGTACCTTGACATACAAAAACCACAGAGGAAGAACTGCAGCTAACACAAAGAAATGCAACACTCACGCTCCAACGATGCTGACACTGCCTTCCCTTTCAGGGTTTCCCAGACACTTCACCCTGCCAGCTCGCTCATAGAAAGAGGCTAGACGGGCACCAAGGTAGGCTGGATAACCACTGTCTGCAAACACCAACACCCAGAAATTGAGTCAAAGGCTCAGAGTTTAAAGGATGCATTTACAAGGCTAGACTTGAGAAAAAACTACTCACCAGCTGGCATTTCAGCCAGTCGCCCTGAAATTTCTCTGAGGGCCTCAGCCCATCGGGAAGTAGAGTCTGCCATCATACTGACATGGTAGCCCATGTCCCGGAAATACTCAGACAGGGTGATTCCTACAACAAAGACAACAGTGTGCTGCAGGATACAATTCAGAAAGGAATTCTACGCTTGTACGTTGTCACTAAGATGAAATAAGCCAAATTATTTAAGTTTACATTTTGATGAAAACAGACACTGAAAGTTACTCTTTCTTCTCACTAGATCATGTCCTTGCTTTTTTTTTGTTGTTTTTTATTTCTCCTCACTCTCCATATTTTTGTTTATGAACCACTCTAGCTCATATTACATTCCCATGTATTTCTTTGAAGAGACATGCCAGTGTCACTGATGCTACTCTTTGCCTCACTGAAACATGAACAAATCCTCTTCTTACTGTAAAGTGTCTCCTTCCCTTTCAAAGTAACAGAATAGAACAGTTATCCGATGACTTTTCATAACAAAGAATTTTAAAAAAACCCTCTAAGAGGGTGCAAAAGAAAGACGACTAGCCTGCCAACTCAGAAAGTACTACTCCTGCTCATTAAGTGACTGTACTTGTCAGCAAAAAGCTATTCACAAACAAAAGTTTACATCAACACATGGAGAAAAACTACATGAGAGCTGATGCAGTAAGTTCACCTTATAAGCAAAATTAACTCAATATTTGGAAATCATAATTATATACAAGCGAGCCAGGTTCAGTTAAGATACTAGGACTCTAGTATCTCTTTGGGCAAGGCCCAAAAGGGTTGACTTCTGAAACTAAGGAGGTTTCTTGGTACTGACCATCTCAGCAAGTGAAAATACTAGAGCATGATGGCTTGCTCTACACACAGCGTTTTCCAGTAAATCTTACCAGTATAGATGGAGGCTTCTCTGGCAGCCACAGGCATGTTGGAGGTATTTGCTACCAGAGCTGTTCTCTTCATGATGCTTTCTACCTTGCCATCAACTTCCATTGTTAACTAAAATGCAAGGAGGGAAAAAAAGCTAACACTAGCAAGTTTTTTTGGTTTATTTTTTGTTGGTTTTTTTACTGCATTAATTTGTATCAGGATACTCTCCTCACAGATACTCTACCAAGAGCGGAGACTAGATTCAAGATGTCAGGATGGTTTACCTTCCAGACTGCACACAGCTTAACTCTTCAACATACGTCCCTCAGACTCATCTCATCTCTGCACCTGGCAAATCCCTACTGATCCCATTCAAACGACTAATGACAAATCCACTGCATCAGGTACGTATATTATCCTTGCTCAGCTTACTAGGCTGGAAGACCCAAAAATCTTAGCCTCCTGTCACAAGACTGTTAGGAATCAGAGAGCTTTTTTCCCCCCACCTACACCGATCTGAGTTCACCTTTGACAAATGGACATAAAACCACTTAGGTAACCCAGGTGAAACCACACAGCCACCTGAATGACAGAATGTATATCCTGACATTTGTGTAGGATTCCACTTATGAATATCCTGGGATTTACCTTTTTCATGGCCACCTCAGCTTGACTTTCTCATCTTGTAATCGATCAACACACCCAAGCCTTTTACTCCTTATTTCTGACTGGAGTTTCAACCTAACAGTTCTGACTACCTGGCTTCTTTCCCGTATTTTACAGAAGACTGTGCCACAACTAATCTGTTGACATGTAACAACAGTTAGAAGGACTCATAAACTTGCTGCCTTTTATTTGTAAGCAGGCATTTTCTGCTGCCTTCAGAAGGTATTCCACAGCCTCACATGTCAAACTAGTATTTGTAACTGTTTGTATCACCACTCCGCACCTTGTAAATAAATGTGCTATGCATGGTTAAGTTAGAGAAGTTAGAAACACTACCAGTGAAAGGTAAGATGCTTGTAACTGTGCTAAATTTCACCCTGGCATTCATTTTGGCTTTATTTTAAACAGGTTAGAAGGTACACCCCAAAACTAGTCCAGATGTTTATTAAGGGGTCACTGAAATCATTCCTGAATAAGCCAAAAGGGATTTCTGTTACTACAGCCAGGACTTACAGCAGGGAGGCAACAAGATCATTTCAAGTCACTCTACCAATGAGATATTTAATTCAGTTACAATACCACTACAATAGCAAGTCCTTCCCAAGAAGATTTACTCTCCATGAATTGTCCATACTAACCTCTGGGAAATCTCTCAGTACTTCAGACATTTCATTTCCTCGTTCTCCACAGCCCACATAAATGATGACATCACTGTTGGAGTATTTTGAGAGAGACTGTGAGATCACAGTCTTTCCACAACCAAATGCTCCAGGAATTGCTGTTGTACCCCCTTGTACACACCTGAGAAAAGAAAAAGAACTCTGATTTGCCAGGAACTCGAAACCAGTGCTCTCCCATCTTAGAGTATGTTTCCAATAAAACTGCCTAATTAAAAGCAGAGTGATGGGAGACATATTCAGTGTTCTGGGTGAGAAGCACAGAGGTATTTCACTAAACCAAAAGACTGAGGGAATAAACTATCCTTTTCTTCTACTGCCCTTCAAGTACATGAGTTATGCTGGTACAACAGCTAGACTTTCAGGCTTGAAACATGGCAGTTTTCACAGATGGAAGCACCGACGGAATGCAAATGCTAAGGAAAAAACAACTGTACTTAGCTGCGCGTTATAAGAATGAGCAGCACAATACTTTAGGACCAAAATTACTGAATTCAGTGTATTGGAAGTTAATGGCTTAAATGAGCATTTTGTGTGACAGTTAAAGTGCAACAGTTTTCATAAGTGGCAACAGCAAAATCACTAGGAACTATACATCCTCAAGACCACAGAAAGAGATGCTACTTTACGTCCAAATGGAGATATTAAGCTTGAAAGTTCTAGCCTTTCTGTAGATTTGGCACGATTATGTTAAGTTTATGCTTGTCCATTCTCTTCTAGATTAATGCACTAGGACTATCTTGTTAAACTTATGTTCTTTTTTCCATTAGTAGGTTCTCTTGCCAAATATGGAAATAGGAGGAATTCAGCTATGTATTTTTTGAGATGATGCTGTGATAGATATGAGAACTTGCTCTTAAAAAAAAAATTTAAGGCCTCCTCCCTCTGCTTCCCCCCCAAAAGCGAGATTTCTTACATAGTAGAGAATAGAAGGTAGTACTTACGGGAAGAGGGCATCCAGGACCCGCTGGCCAGTTAATAAAGGATGATTGGCTGGTAACTTCTCAGTAACAGGACGGACTTGACGTACAGGCCAGACCTGGACCATAGTGAACTTCTCCTTCACACCTTCAAACTCCAGCTCTAAGACAACATCCTAACAGACAGCACCAGACACCTGAAGTAAGCAAACTGCTGCACACTGGACCAGCACACAAAAAAATCTCATCTCAACTATATATTTGATACCACCACAGATCTCTCAGAACCTGAACACACTGTCATCCCCTCCTGAGGGAAGGCTCCTTCCCTTATGTACAGTACTACTGGGGGGGAAAAAAAAAAGTATGAGATGAAGCTTCAACTAAAAATATGCTGGCAAAAAGCAACTGAATTTTACATATTCATAAGATACGTAGATCCACACAGAGGTCAGTGACGCTGAAGTGCCAGTGGGAAGTCACATACAAAGTAACTGCCTAAGGTAATTGTGTGACCCCTGCAGGCAGAGTAGCAGAAGCAAGCATTAACTCAGACATCTTGGATGAAACACTTTCAGCTGGCATCATGCAGAACAGAAAGAGTACATCAACCTTATGAAAGGGACACGGACTATACCAGCAACTGCTGTTTGGGAGACTTACTGAAGCATCGTAGTTTCCTGGCGGAGCAATGTATGTAACTGTACCCCTGTTTCGTGGAGGCAGCATGATTTTGTGTTTGATAAGGGAGTTTTCATTCACCACACCATAAATATCTCCACCAGTGATGTGGCTGCCAACCTAAAATCAGAACAGGTCTATTAGTCATAAGTGAGAACTCCAGTTTTAAAAAAGAACCTTGACAAAGAACTGTATAAAATAACCGTAGCTATTAAGTCTACCACTGTGATTACTCTTTTTATAAATGTATTGTTACAGCACCGTAGCCCATTTACATAACTCATTACACTAAATGCACATTGCAAGTAACACTATCTGGGTTCAGGCGCCTTTCAAGGCTCGGACAGTAGCAATTACTGTCTGATACAAGGAATTTTCCTCATTTCTTTTATACCTCTCAGCTTAATGTGTTAAGTAGAGAAAGTATAGCATACGCTAACCTGCAGGGTTGGAAAAAAAATGCTGCCAAGGGTTAAAGCTGTTACATTTTCCAGCTCTAAGGCTATCTTCACCGTTTGCAAAATGCGTGCTGCAGTCGTTCTTACTCCTGCTAATGCTTAGTGCAATTCCACTAGTTTCTTTATGGTTTTGCAAATACATAAAAACTTTGCAAGTTTCTCATATGCAGAAAAACCACACAGAAGTCCCATCAAGTAAGTTTTGGTGATCCCCATCCAGTCTCATACATCGCTACTGCCTGCCAGCACCCCTTTTCGCAAACTTAAATACAGCATTAGCCATGGCTCCCAGCAGTCACAGCCTTGGCACCCTGCTCCAGCCCCAAGCTCCGGGGGCACACAGGCTTGTCATAACCTACCCGCAGATTTTTAGAAGGCATGAAGTCCCATTTGATATCTCGGCTCAAAGCTGACACGTTGACACCTCTAGGGATATAGATACTTTTGGTCAGAGTGCTGATGTCTGAGAGGGGCCTCTGGATACCATCAAAAATGGCTCCCATAATGCCAGGACCTAGTTCCACCGACAGGGGTTTGCCAGTACGGAGTACGGGATCTCCTACAGAGACACCAGCTAAAGATTTGCTGAGGAAAAGTTCATCCAGAGAAAGGGAAAGAAACAGGACAGAAGGCATCATATTCACAACATCATACTCTTAAACCACTTTTCTGACTTCACGGTAATATTTTTACTACTATATTACACATAGAATGGTTTGGGTTGGGAGGGACCTTAGAGATCATCCTGTCCTGTCCCGTCCTCCCTTCCACCCGCCATGGGCAGGAACACTTTCCACTAGACCAGGTTGCTCAAATCCCCATCCAACCTGGCCATGAACCCTGCCAGGAAGGGGGCAGCCACAATCTCTCTGGGCAACCTGTGCCAGTGTCTCACCACCCTCACAGAAAAGAATTTCTTCCTCATGTCTAATTTAAACGTGCCCTCTTTCATCTTAAAACCATTACCCCTTGTCTGGTTGGACTAGATGATCTTCAAGGTCTCTTCCGACCTAGATGATTTTGTGATTCTGTCCTATCCCTACACTCCCTGATCAAGAGTCCTTCTTCATCTTTCCTAGAGCCCCCCTTTAGGTACAGGGAGGCTGCTATAAGGTCTCCCCAGAGCCTCCTCTTCTCTGGGCTGAACAACTCCAACTCTCTGAGCTTGTCTCACATCATCATTTGAGAAGCATGTAGGCTTTATACTAAACTCAAGCTGAAAATGCTAAAGCAACAAAGTTGCTCATCCTCCAGAGAGGCAAAGTAGGGGTAAATATTCTGCTTTACAATCATTAGTTCAAGTCAACTATATGGATGAATTTACTGGAGTGACAGACAGCAGTATCACAAAACACCAGGCATTTCTTAAATCTTCAAATCTAAAAACCATGTTTGATTGTTGAAGTCAGACAATGTTACAAAATATGTAATTTTTAGCTTCAGAATTTTTAGAGAGCACAACTGTTTTGACCTTGAGCCTTGTACAGACTTTTGACAGTAGTCTAATTTTTAAGGGAGTTTGTCCAAGACCAGTGTTATTTCCCTCCTCTCCAGTATTAAGTTGTCCAGTCTATGCACTAAGCTCCAAGGATGAACAATGGACCTCTCTGCAAAAAGCCAGCAGTTTGGCAAAAGGCCCTGCTAGAATACAAAAGAAACCCCCGAAATCTATGCAAGACTCCAGAGATTAAATGCAAGTTGACTTCAGAGAGCCCTATGACAGAGCCTAAAAGTAAACCACCCTTAAACTTGTTCCACATGCTGATGAAAGGCTACTAGATATTACAATGATGATGCCATCTAAAATGATAAATTAGTAGGTACAGAGAGGAGCTAGTCACCAGTTTACCATTCAGCTCCTCAGAACAAAGCTTTGGCAGCCAGCACAGGCTTTTTCCTAGTCTCTATGGATACACAGAGCCAACTCTTAAGTTTAAAAGGATACAAAGGAAAAAAAAAAGAAAAAAAAAAAGAAAGAAGGTCTGGCCTCAAGTTTTATGACTTCTTCTCTGAAATTCGCTTATATATGTGTAATAGATCATACATTTTAAGTTAACTAGATTTTAGAAGACATGCTGCGTCCTAGCTGGACCAAGATTCTGTAAGCACACTGCAGAAACAAAAATGTCATCTTACATCTGGCAAAATACTCTGCCCAGATGAAGGCATTCTGCCCACTTTACATCTCCTATTAAAGCATTGTACAAGCATAGTTTTTAAAAGCAAAGAAAAAACCAAAAAAATATACTGCTTGGTAGTTCTACCATTTCTGGTTGACATTTGTCAAACAACTTCCTTAACAAAGAGCCGTAATATTTAAATTAAAATTAACGTAAATTCTAAGATACACATTATTTGATTTCCACTTAAAATAAAACCCAGTCTCCTTGCTACACAGTCAAGAAAGATAAGATTTACCTCCAAACCATCAGAATTTACAAAAGCTGTGCGGAACAGACGTCCTGCTGGTACCAGAAATATCAAGTGTTGGTCCCAGTCAGCTTTGCTTATCATCTTCACTCTAATCACTGCTGTGTTCTGGACTATGCAGTCTGGTGGGCCCAAAGGGATCAGTGAAAAGGATACATGTTTCTTCATACACCTGGACAGTTGCCAAATCACCTTCCAGTCGGATGATCTCCCCCACCAGTTCACTGTGGCCTACTCGTACCAGCTCATACATAGCAGCACCTGCCATGTTGCACGCCGTGACCACTGTAAAAGACAGGCACATAGGTGAATATTTTTCCCGTAACTCATGAAATTTGCTGATGGGAAGCTGGTGAGAACTGCATAGCATGACTAGTATTGACCCAAATGAGAAGTACATTCTTGATTTCACAAAAGGACTAATTTGGCTGCCCCAAATCCTGGCATTTCTAGTCTAAAAGTCAAAAGTTTCCCCATGCTTTTCATGCTGTTCCTTTATGCTCAATAAGAGGACACTACTATCAGAATGTAGTAGTTCAGGCAATTCATGCCATAATTTCTCTTATCTATCTTGACAGATGGTGAACATTTTAGGGTTTTAGAGACTCACTGAACTTTGAGACACAAGTTACATAGGTGCTTCTCCCTTTCAGTTAGCTGGGGTACATTTCCTTCTGACTAAATTAAAACATACAAGAAAACAGCAAAGCTCACCATACCTGGTAGTTATATAAATCTGTGGTTGGGGACCAGCATTTTCAAGTTACTCAAACCTGTTTACCTTGGTAGCATCTGGGTGCTCACATGACAAACTATTTCCATGTGTAGATCAAGCCAAGGCACCTGCTAAAGGCCATGCGTACCCTTGTATCTAGAGTAGCAGATGGCTACAAAGCTTTTAAGGAAACACTACTTTCACATTTTATTTTGTAGGAAAGTGATGTATATCTTCAGGCACTTTAAGCAAATAAAAACTGTTTCCAGCATGTTTTGGGCCTGAAACCTCCCACGGTTTTGAGTTAGATTTCAGCATGTCATACAGGAGGCCTAGCTGCTTTAGGACAAAATTTATTGTGTCTTTATATTAGAATATCAATCTTGCACACAGGATTCATCTATTTATATAGAAATACTTTTTACACTTCTTAAGAAAGCTGTATCAGTTTAAAATTGTTAAGTATCACTTCTACAGTTAATGAATTGGCAGTTAAAGACACAAGCCAAGGGAGTTTCTTATTCATAAAAGAAGCTGTACTGACAAAAATACATGCTGTACTTTGGCTCTCCCACTCCCATCCTTCACCTCTTTAAAAGAGTGCAGGATGGAGCAGAAAAGCTGGTAAAGTCTGCATGTATTCAAAAGCTGTTACCATCAGAGTCTAAAGAAACTATTTAAGCTGACCAAGAAGGAGTCCTCCTCTTTCTCCCATCTGCACTACCACCATGCTCTGCCACCTTCCCTAATCCTTGCAGCTCCTTGCTGAGCTTCTCCAGCCTGTGGTGCAGTAACAGAACAGCTTGACACTGGCAGGGGACTGAGTATTCCGGAGAGCGCAGGGTCAAACTGCATTTCAGTGAGAGTGAACTCTGCATTGCGCCCTTTTAGAGAAGCTTAATTCACTGAGCCTGCAGGTTTCTGACCAAATGGCTTTATCTCATCCAGTAAAGCTTACTACCTTTTTAAAAATTATTATTATTCAGCCTGCTTCTGCTCATTAGATCTTTAAATGAGGCTAATTAGCCGTACCATCTTATCAGTATAGTCTGATAAAATATTCAGAAATACAAGTCAGTGATCCTCCTTAAAAAGCCCACCCCAAAAGAAGAAAAAGCCCCACCCAGAGCTCTACTATACTTTACCACTTCCAAGTGAACAAGATTAACAAGACACTAGATGAAACAGAATCTATGATTGACTTTAAATACCTACCAGGTCCTGAGACCCCATGGACATAGCCAACAAAAGCCTCTCTGTCCTCATCACGGATTTTGGGTAGCTTGGAGAAGTCCATTTTGCCTGTTCAACTGGACAGAAGGAAAAAAGAAAAAAGTCAGTCCCGAGGAGCATCTACATGTAGTAAGTTCCTCCTCTTCCTCCCCTCTGCTCTCCTTGTTTCCAGTTAGAAAGAATTCTGAACAGAAGAATTCTGAACTTGTGTCACCTGAAGCACCTTGACCACACTGATTTTAAAACTATAAAAAGTTAAAACGTAACTCATTTAAACAAACAGAAGAACTAACATCCCCTATTGCAGAAACACAGGGGTGGAACATCACTCCACAATATGCTCCACAAAACAGTATGAGTGAAATTATTACACTCCAAAATGCCATTACACCGCTGGACTGTTTTCAAGCCCAACAACAGGATATTAAAACAATGGAGAGTCTCTTCTGTCTTCCACATCTCACCTACCCTTCTTCAAAATATGGAGTTTTCCATGATCCTGAGTGAGCAAAAGAATGTTCTGGAGCTGCTTCACTGCCACCAGCCTCTAAAAGGCAATACTACAAATACTAATTGTGAAAATTCTAATTTTGCTATCTTAAGGTACTGAATCAGTGTTCAGAGGAAGAAACATATGTTTTCACAAGCACTAGCACACAAACACGTGAGTCCTCTCTATATGCCTCACAGCCAGGTGTTACACAATCTTTGCTATCAGTGAAAGCTGTGGAGCATTACAGAAGAATTGCACTGAATAATGGCCCAAACCCCCAACCTGCATCTCTTGCCAGTAATTGTTTAGAGGATCTAAACAAGTGGCGCAGGAAAAACTGTTTTAGAAACAGAACTCCTCCATCCACATTTTTCCTGTAATCAACAGTTGGGCTCTCCTGCTTCGGGTGCAGATAAGTATATTTCATGTTTTTGCTTTGTCAGCCCTTATCATGCTTTGTGTTACCTTGGAAACTGATTAGCATTAGAGAACTGTAAGGCAATTCTCTCCCATTTCTACTGTATTGACACATTTATGACGCAGCACTGGTGAAAAGTGCGGCACAGCAGCCCCAGCATACTCTCTGCAGATCAACAGCCCCTACCCAGCAAAAGCCTGTGAACTGCATGAGGCAACTGTTGACACTCACAGTCCTTGCAAGAAGCTTTAACCTAACACAGCATCTTCTGCACGGCAGCAAACAGAGGCATAATCAGGCTTGAAAACCTGTCCCATGTACAATGAGGAAGACAACTGTATTGCCACCTCTTCCATCATCATTAAAGGATGCTTCTCTGCCTGTTGTTCAGGAGCAGTAAAGCAGATGATATCTGCCATTCTTAAAATCTTATGATGACCGTTCTCCAGCTTTTCAATACTACACTACAAATCCTCTGCCCCTCAGCCTCTTTACCAGTCTGAATGTTTTAAATCGGTGGCTCTGCTCTGGAAGAAAAGAATCTCCAATGATTCCAAACTCGTTCATCCTGAAGGAATAGCTGCTTCTAGGCTGCCTGTCTTGCTGGAGTGGACTGTGTAACATGGCTACCATCGACTCATTTCACAACAGCCACCCCAACAGTTGATCATGACTCAGTCACCATCAGCCTGGAGCGGAACTGCCAACTGCTCTCGAGCTCAAAGGCTAAGTCAGATATCTGTTACATCCCTCTACTCTCCATGATAGCTTTATCCTTTAAGCTGCCTGTTGTTTAGGCCCAGAAGACAATTTTAATTTCTCTGCTTATTTTTCAAAAGTCTCCTCTGACAAATGGTCCTTGAAAAGCAATCTGCAGTTCCTAAGCAGCTGGTAAGAGCTGGTTCTGATCAGACTAACATAACTACTTCATCATTTTCAGTTTTACTGATTAAAAACACTGCAAAACTCAAGTACAATTACTGCCCATACTGAAAAAAACAGCTAGTCGTACAAATATATTCAAAATTTCTTTCAACAGACCATGATATGAACAATCTCTAGAGTCCTACTACCAAAATCTTCTATAGAAGCACAATAAAGAGCTAAACCAAATTCTCACAACTGAATTAGTGACGCTGTTTGGCAGTTAGACAGTACAGGGTCCCATATGAAATTCCAATTCACAAAGGAAAGGAAAAGCAGGAAGAACACTGGCCAGTTTCAATTTAAAGTAACTTTTCTTCATATCCAAAACCTGCAGGTCAGCTGACTGACATTTGAAGCAACTGCTTATCTTTTTGGGACACAAAGAACCTCAGAACAGTCATTCTGCAGTTAAAGCAGCATCCTGACACCCAGCACCTGTCTCTCTTGTTCCTGTGGCTGCTCTGTTCCCTCTCTCTCCCTACCGCCACCTTCCCAAATTACTGGCCAAGCCAAATAAAAAAGGGATTACTCCGCTAGACCACCTAGCAACACACCAATAAACCCTGTCTTTGTCCAGATCTTTAGCATCTGCACCAACTATTCCAAGTGTGAAAGATGCAGTAAATTCTTCCTCACCTTTCTTCCTTCCATCTCCTATATACCTCCAAACAAAGTACCCACAGTCTAAAAAAGCCAGTGCTCACTCAGCCAAGCCAACCTCTTTAAGGGGCTTACACCTCTTCGAACAGTGAATACAAATTAAGAAAAAAAAATGCTGTTATTTCTCTCTGCATAGTTTCCCTGTGTTTGCATATTAGCACTACAGAGTTCCATTTTATATAGTAAAGTCCTTGAGGGCAGAACTGTTGCCTTACCTACCTACACTGTTCAATGTTTTCATTGTTAGTACTCAGATAAAATGAAATTCCCTAAAGCGCCTCAGGATTTGTTAAACATAACATGGTGTGTGCAAGAAGCGTGTACTTACCCCAGAAGCCATGGTAGCTAGCCATTTTAGAAACCTGCTGAGCTCCTATAGCTTTTCAGAGGCCTCTTGCCAACACAGGATATTAAGCATGATACGCAATCCACTCCTACAAAGTCCACTAGCACACCTACACAGCGTATTAGCTTAATTTTAGTTCCCTTATGAACAAAGATACATCTTGTATCCTTTACAACACACATACAGGAACCTTCCTTGTCTTAAACAGTTCACCAATTGATTTTAAACATGCTTTTAAGCTCTAACATTGTCATGTTCTGCCTAACAGTGCCAGAAATCAAAATATTACTTGCTTCAGAACCATCCCTGACTGAGAGTTGATTTATTAAAGTAATTTTATAGTCATAATTAAACAAGAAACGGCCAACAACATGAGTTTTCTATCCTGCTTTCTCCCCAGCACAGCAATTTGGCTGCACAGTAACCCCCAAAATGTATGGCTTGCTCTCAATGCTGGAGAAACCCGTTTTCTGTTACAGTTCCCTGTTTGTGCTTCAAACATTTGATCTGACCCAGAATTTACACAATGAACTGCCTTACCACAAGGATCTCTTAAAAATTAAGACTCCAGTGAGATTTTTAGAAGGAGCCTACTTGCAGCAACGAAGAAAATCCGTGACTATTTTATCATATAAACACAGATTCTTACCTTGTTTTGCAGAAATGGGGAATAACAAAAATCCACAGGCCCAGTGAAACAAAGCCAGAATTGAGCAGTTAAGCACCACCACTGAGGAAATAATTGTCCTTCTAGTGTCCCTACACAGAGGGATGAGAAAGCCTGCTGCAGAGGGGAAAGAAATTTCTGACACACAGCAGAGGCATAACCACCTGACTTGATGAGTCATCAGTCTCCCTCTCTCCCACCAGCACCGAGGAATGCCGCAATAGCAAATCCAGCTACCTAGAGCCCAGCTGAACTCCCATCTGCGCCCTCCTTACCACACAGGACCCAGCAGAAGAAATTAAAAGCGGCGTTCGCATTAAGCGAATACAAAGACAATAATCTCTATGTCCCAAGTGGTACATGCTACTACATAAAAATCTTGCAAGAGACGCGTGTTTCCTGCTGGAAGCCCTTTACCCACCAGTCCTCCAGCGTAACATATCTGTGTCAGTGTGTGCTCTGTTCTGGGGGAGCTTAACAGAACAACTGTTTAATGACAGACTGCATAGGGAGGTGATGAAGACACCGCAACACTAATTGCTTGGGTATGTAGAACATGTACTGATTCTTGTCAAAATAAAGAGTCTTGTGGGGCTTACTTCTGCTAAGAGTCCCTTCCCCTAGTTAGCTGAAACATTGATGCCACTTGCACAACATCCAACACCTTAGTGAAGCAGACTGATGTGCCACCTTGAATGACAGCTGCCAGAATCTGTTTTCAAAGACCAACAGGCACAAATATTGTCCTGCACACTGTACAGGAGACAAGTAGCTATGCAGTCTCTCCCCCAAGAAGCTGCCTGAGTTGAAGAGTTGCCTGCAGTCTTCACAACTTCTCAAGACTATCTTCTCAAGTTCTAGGATAAGCAACACATCAAGCTGGCATGAAAGCTTAAAAAAACCTAACCAGAATTGTAGTAAATAGCACAATACCAGCAATTTGGAAGCAGCAGCATTACATTAAGTCACTAGTGCTAGGATTCATTCTGCTGGAGTAACTTTGAACTAAGGTCATAGATTTTGGTACATCTGAAACAGACTAATGTATTTTAAACTTCCTAGGGTAGAAAAATGGAGTAAGAATATAAAACCTTACATTTGATATCCAGGAAAGCTTAATAAACATGCACAGTAAAAAGTCACCAAATAAAGTTTTTCAAAGAAAATCCCTCCTCCTCCTCTTAGTAAAAACCTAGACGCTACAGAACAGCACAGATTACATCCCTCACTGGACAATCAGCTTAGCACTGTATTTGAGTCATGCTTTAGAATCAAAACTGCCAACATTTACTATGTTCACCTGAGCAGACTTTGGTACAATGCATAGATCCCAGCTGGTGTCCAGCTGTACAAGGATGTGTTGCAAGGGCCTCATAAATAATAGAATAATCATTGCCATAGATTTCCTGTAACTTGAACAGTTTATACTTCCCCTTCCAAGAGACAATATTTTTAAGAGGAAGTATAAAAAAAAATTACTAGACAAATGCAGAAGTTCAGCAGCATTTCTGCATCTAGAATTCAAGATACTATCCCAGAAGAAACCACATACCCAGAACTCTTAACATTTGGAAGGGAAGCCAAAGAGTATTCTCAGGAAATCTGCTCCTTCATACTAAGCAGAATCATAATTTTACTATAATGCCGCAGGGAAAAATTACTCCAGATTTCTCAGATACCAAACAACAGAACTGCTGAGGTTGGAAGGCACCTCTGGAGATCACCTAGTTCCAACACCATGCTCAGGCACATCCAGCTGGGTTTTGATTATCTCCAAGGATGAAGACTCCCCAACTCTCTGGGCAACCTGTTCCAATGTTCAGACACCCTTACAAGTAAAAAGCATTTTCTTATGTTTAAAGGGAATTCCCTGTATTTCAGTTTGCTCCCACTGCTTCTTCTTTCTTCAGCAGATATCACTGAGAAGGGTTTGTCTCCATTCTCTTTGCTCCCTCCCTTTAGGTATTTATATACTTTACAATAAGATTCTCAGACTCTCCTCTTCCTGAGGCTACATAATCCCAGCTCTCTTACCCTCTCCTCATATCTCCAAACCCTTAACGGTCTTTGTGGCCCTTTTCTGGACATGCTCCATTAAGCCATATCTTCCTTCTACTGGAGAACCCAGAACCAGACACAGCATTCCAGATGTGGTTTCCCCAGAGCTTAATCAAGGGGAAAGACCACCTCCCTGAACCTGCTGGCAGCATTCTTCCTCACGCAGCTGGCCACCTTTGCCACAAGGCAAGCTCACTGCCAGCTCATGTTCAACTTGGTGTCTGCCAGGACCTCTAATTTTCAGCAGAGCCATTTTGCTGCCAGTCAGTTCCCAGCCGGTAGCAAGGCACATGATTATTCCTCCCCAGGTGCAGGACTCAGCATTTCTCTTTGTCAGACTTCATGAGATGCCTGTCAGCCTATTTTTGCAGTCTGTCAAGGTCCCTCTGTATGGCAGCACAGCTATACCAAACACCTTCCAACTCTGTACCATCTGCACTCTAATGAAACCAGGCAGGAGTCACCTCCCGTGCTCACAATGATGCCGCTTAGTCTTCTCTTCACACAGACATCCAGAAGCTAACTGTACCAACTCCTCGCCATAAGCTCCAAGCTAGAAGTATCATCATTTCTTAAACTCAACAACACTGACGTTCTTCCATTTAATACAATTCCAGTTGCCACAGGGCACTTTCAGGCCACCACTGCTCTCAGTAGGTCAGGAATCTGCTTAAGCAATGCTCAGCTACATACTGTGGATCCATCTGCAACCATCAAGACAAGTCATTTTTCACACAACTTGTTCCTCAGGTACTATAAAGCCCTTTTCTCTCACATGAGGCTTGCTACTCTGCACACGTACAGGCAAGTCCAGGTGTATTCAAGAAAAAAGACAGGAAATAGAGTTATGCTACCACTGTCAGCACAGCACGAAACGTCTACAAAGTGAGCCTGTGCTACATGGCAATTCATGAAGCCCATCACAAACTCCTACTGCCTCCTTCCTCAAAACAGATGGGGGACTTTCCTGTGGGGATGCCAATACATACAAGCCTGGTACTTCAAGCAAACATCATACCTTGCACACAAGCTAAACATGTATAAAATATATTTGTATTTAATACATATATACAGCATAAGAGACTCTACCACAAAGACGGGGTGTGAAGGCTGTTCATGCAAGAAGTATCACCACCACAAATTGTTACTCAAGCACCCAAGCTTTTATTCAGAAGCCTGGGAGATTCCTTCAGTTAGCCCAAAACAGGACTAGAAAAAAGTTGTGTTTGAATATGACTGAGAAGTTTGCAGCAGCAATAAAACTAGATAGAAAGGCTGGCAAGGCATTTATTGCGTAACTGCTTTGATGCACATAAGATTTGATCAGTGCAGTAGATAACTGGCCTCCTGACTTCAAACGCAGTTGTCACGCTTTGATTGATAAAGATTCTGGTTTTATCAGTTAAAATACTCCTGTTACTAGAGAAAACCACATTGTTCACGTGAAAAAAAGAAAAAAATCTCCATCAGCTGACTGGTTATATGCTACAGAGTTTTCCGTAATAGGGTTTTCTACATCAATTCTTTCCTCCCAGCCCAGGCGGCTTGCCCAGAGGAGCAATAGAGGTAAAATGGATGAGCCTCCCCTTATTTCTTACTTGCTACGCTATTTCACAAGTTTCCTACTGTGAAAAATTTAACATTCCTTTCAGCCTGCTACACATCCTGCCCCTTCTTTGGCTTGATAGACTTTCACGCAAGGATCTAGGAGGAACTAATGCAGCTGAGATCCAAGCAGAATACTAATACGATGTTCATTTCTGTGTCCCACAGTGGTTGTCTTTTCTCATCCTATCCTGTCATCTAGCTGCTAGGGCTGAAAATTTCTTCAGCCATCTGCTTAGGGCAATACTCCTCTATTCCTCTAGGAACTCCTCAATTTCCTCTAGGCAAGCAAAATTTTTATTAACCTCACAAACACTACAGCAAAGCTAAAATCCATCCTTGCTTTTATTAAATAAAAGTCACTCTACTTTTCAGTGTATTTGGCATCATTACTAGAAATAATTCTTGTTGCTCTAAACTTTACGATGACAAACATCAAAATGAGATGAACACAAAGCTGTAAGCAATTATAGCTGCAAACTTCACTACAGTTCAGTTGAGTCACTTCTGAATAGTTGAAGATTCTTACCTCAACAGACAAAAGGTGTGCAGTTTCATAAAACAACTTCTGCTAGATTTGTAAGTCAGGCTGGTTTACATGCAGACACATATTAGTAGTTTGGGCTTATTAAAACACATCAGCTCCTCTATGAGCCTCACTACTGCCTAATTCCTTGTCCCTCAATGTAATAGCTAAAATACTGAGCACAAGTTTGGAGTAAGCATTTAATCACAACCTTCACTTTCAAAAACTTTAAAGTTGAGATATTATGGAATCTTCAGTTTATGTGAGGTATTTGACAGCTAGTTTGAAGAGCTGAACTAGGAGTAACTTTGCGTGAGAGTCTTTGAGAAAGATCTAATACCCCTAGCAGATAGAAGTACTCTTTTACAGCACTTTGCTATAATGAAACACCTGGCTGGAATGACAACACACTTATTGCCATTGGATTCCCGTAAAAGGAAATTAAGTTGAGGTCGACTTTTCCTGTAATGGAAAACTTCATGTTCTAAAGCAAGTTAAGCCACATTTGGAGATTTTTATGTTCAATTACCTGAAGTATTTACAGCTTCTTTAGAAGAGCCAGAGCCCCTCCAACATATTAAATTTTAACATTGCTTAAGCTACATATTGTGCTGGTTGTCTGAACATCCACCAGGTGAAGCAAATTTATCTCACAATAACAAAACTCTCAACATTTCAAGGATCTAGAGGAAATTCACATAATAGAATTGCCTTCTTAGAAGTCCTTACCAATGTTATCTGCATTTAGCCAGAAATACTATTTCAGCTTTTTCTGAAGAGCTGCTTTTTAAGTTATTACTTTCCCAGTGAGAATCAAAATAATGATATAACGCAATAATGAAAAGGACCAAATGTATGCCCCACTAACTGAACTTCTCAGAAGATGCAATTTCTTTGCTAGAATATTAAAACCCAGTCAAGTCATTCTTCAGGAAACTTGCATAC